GAGTGCCTTGTAGCTTAAAATTGACAGTCATGTGCTGTGCGTTACTTTATTAATAAATAGTAACGAAACTTGACTGTATATTTGACTATCCCTAGCTTAATACATAATAACACAAAAGTTTCTTATCTACAAACCAAACGTTGTTGATCCGGTGGAATTCCTTCAATATATTCTATCATACTCTTAACAACAAGAATATTGTCAGTAATTTTTATATTTTCAAGAACTATAGTTTTGCCAGTAAGCGTTTTAACATATAACTGAAATAATATATTTTAAATATTGATAAATTTAACTAATTTTTCCTATACTTTAAGGTGGATTAAGATATTTAATAGCTTTATTAGTTCTGGTATAAACTTTGTGCGGCCGTCTAGCTCCCGAATTTTGGGTAAACCGACCAAACCTTGGAAGAAATATTGCTCCTTGGATTCCAAAATGCTCAAATTTTCGCATGTGGCGCAGGGAATGGATGAAATAGGAAGATTTATGGCTTCGAAGCCTCCCAAGAATCCAGAATCATCGCATACGGCCCTAAAAATTCAGAACTATTAACCCTTGACATCGAAAAATCATAATTATAAATTTTTTACATATTCCCAAGTACGAGATACGAGGTACAAGGCCAAAAATAGGGCTTGCACGAGTACGAGTGCAAGAAAAAAATTAGACATGTACGAGTACGAGCAAATTTCAAAATTCCAATCACTGGTTATAAATGGACTTTTTGTTTAAATAATTTAATATACTCCTAAAAACCCTCAAAATTTTCGCCTGCGGAGCAAGGTGGAAATAATTAATTATACCTATATTTTGAAAATTTTCCCGCTATGTTTATAAATTAAGCTTTTTTAACTATAACTTAATGTTTTCTGACGAGAATCCTGCTTTTATATCTTAATACACATTTCACTTAAACTCAAAACATTATTTTAATTCTTGGAATCTACCTTTATTGTATTTGATTCTGATTTATTCTGTACATTGCCGGAATAACCAGGAGATTCTTCTTCGAGAAAAATTTGTCTAATATCACTCAAAACTGCATTTTTCCGACATTTGGGGCAATAATTTTTCTAAAATGGAAAAAAATAGATTTAAATTTGTAATTAATTTCTCTACTTGAAGGGTCCAATTTTTAATACAATCAATGTGAAAAACATGTCCGCATGAAATTGAATACATATTTTTGTAAGTTAAAGGTTCGGAACAAACAACACAAATAAATTTAGTAGAAGACATTTAAATAACTGAAATTGAATTCAAATATAAAAAACATGGATGGGTGTAAATAGGTGAAAAATGAAAAGACAAGAAAAAGAAATATGTACTGAAAAAATAATCCAAAATAATTAGGAATAAAAGAGCAAAAGCGAGTAAAAAGTAGAGGTCGGCAAAATCGCACTTCCGGGATCCCGAGTCGGGATTTTATTTTTTAACCGAGGCCGGGACGGGATCCCGAGGGATAAATCCCGAAAAAATCCCGGATCCCGGTTGATCCCGAAAATAAAAAAATCCGGGATTTCGGGATCGGGATTCCGGAAAATCGCGTTGGGATCCCGTCCCGCGCCGACCTCTAGTAAAAAGTACTGTTAGAGTAAGTTGAGAGCTGCAAATTAGAGCAGCCAACAGGCATTAAATCCCATGGATTTATTTAATTAAATATGTACAGTATATTAAATTTTAAATTATATAAGAAATTTTAGAACAAAATTAAGATTTTTTAGAACAAAGCTCAAAATTTAGGCCACTCAGAATAAATAAAAATATTTTGTGAAATTTTTATTAACAAAAAAGCAAAAATAAAGAAGTAAATAATATAGTGTATTAATATGGTAAAGCATATCCTAAAGCTTTCCAGGATCGGCGTTGTTAGTGGAGTCACCGTTTTGCCGTTTTGTTTTGGTTCGCTCCCATTCACGTTTCTGCTTTACTATATGAACACATTTAAATAAAATATCGGCTTTAATTTTTTCTCTTTTCAGTTAATTTTAAGCAATGGAAAATATTTGAATAAATAAAATAAAAAGGAGAGAGTTAACAAACCATAAAATAAAATCCAAACAAAAATCCAAATTCTAAAACAAAAAAATTCTAACAAAAAAATACCAAATTTAGAAATTAATGTGAAAAAGACAAGTAAAATGATTGTTGGCCAAATAAAAATTTTACTATTTCATTTTTAGTTCACTTTTAAGCAATTGGAAGCATTTAAACAAACACACTAAATTTGAGCCATCCAAACATAAAGCTCATCATAAACTAAAAATTTTATTAAATTATTCAAAAAAATTATTAAGCAAATTTATATAAATTTAATTTTAAGCACGGATAAAAATCAAATTAAATTTTAATTAAATCTATTAATTTCATCAATCTTCACACAATTGTTTCTGAGATATTCTTTTCAATTTTTAATAACAGAAATTTTTTGTTTTGTAGTTTCGTTACACAAATCTACTTTTTTCTATTTTTACATATTATTTATTTTAATGTAATGTTGGGACTATCGCTTTAGCAAAAATTTTCCAAAAATTAAGCGTTTTTATGATTTTAGAACCCAAATTTATTGAATGAGTAGCGGGTTTTTATAATCTGGATTAACTGAAAACCAAGGGTATCGTTAATAAACGGTAATAAACAATTATAGTAATTAAGGTTATCGGATAGTTGGAAATCTTCGAATATTCGGATCCGATATCCAAACCTAATACGGATCTGACAACCTTACTAGTGATGACAATGAATTGAGGAAATAATTTTTTATTGTTCTACACAGCCATTTTCCAAACTTTTTTAAAAATAGAAAGCTAATTCTGTGCCGAACTATCAAAATTTTTTTATTTAAATTTTGCAAAAAAATTTTTTCAGTTATTTTATAAAATATTCAAGAAGAAATAAATTAAAATGAATAGAAATTTTGTGAAGGATTGTAAAGTTTGTGGGTCAACAAAAAATGTTTACAATCATTATTGTGTCCGTACATGTAAAGCTTGTGGAGCTTTCTTTACGTATTTTTTTAATTTAATTAAATTTAAATTAAATTATATTTAAAAAGTCGTTATCTCGAACAAAAAGAAGGCAAATATGATTGTATTTGTTTAACAAAAACAACTGAAATTAAAAGTAAAATTGTTTTTGATAAAAACACAAATAAAGAATTCCGATTAGTTTGTAAAGGTTGTCGGCTTGAAAAGTGTTTAGCTGTTGGAATGAAAAAACCAAGTAAATAATTAATTTAAAAAATAATTAAAAATGAATGGAAGAGAATTGAGGCGAGATCAAAAAATATAAGCTTATTTAGTTAGGTTTTGGTTAAGTACAGTTATTTATCACGGGAAGTCATAAAAAGCCACAAGCTCTTGGAGTGAATAAAAGTGTTTTTAGGTATAAGCGAGAAATTTTTTAGTCCCCGCAATCCAGATACGTTTCCTTAAATCACGCATCCATTTTTGTAACAAGGGCCAACTTGATTGTTTCAATTATTAACGAAAATGGCCAATAACCCCTACTGGGCAGTTTTGAGCTCCTTATAAAGAGTTTTTAAACTCGCTTAGTTCTGATCTCTAATTTGGATTTTTAAAAAATAATCTGAATATTTTTAAAAGAAAAATACTCTTCTTGATTAATACATTAAAAATATTTCAGAAATTCCATATTTGCGCTACGATATTTGTCCTGAATCAGTGAAAGATATAGACACTAATGAGGAAAATACAGAAGGGTGTAAGGATAAAATATTTTCAAAAAATCAAACGGTAAGACTTTGTCAGAAAATAAAAAATAAAAAAAATTAAGGATTTTGTTGAAACTCCGTTTAAAATTAGTGAAACTGATCGTAAAGAGATTGATTCTTTATTGCAAATTGTTAATGATACAAAACAAATATTGCATGCATTTACAGATTTAGACGATATATTCTTAAATTGTCCAATCAAATTTGAGGATATTATTCTTTCCGGAATTAACATATTTACACAAATTGATTCTTTTACGGTAAAATGATTAAAATTTGGGTAATAATGAAGGAGCTTTTTACGGAATTAAATAACTTATATTTAAATGTTGTTACAAGGGTTTCACCGGAAGTTCAAGCTCTGGAATCCAGAACTTAATTGGATTTTCTTTTCGAAGAGTTCGATAGCTTTGTGAAATATTCAAAAAGATATGTTCAAAAAAGTCAAGAAAGAAGCATCTCCCAAAGGAGAGTATGTGGGGTGACCCAAAGTTCCACAATCATCTCCACATAATAATCCCCTTTATCAGCGTTAAACTTTTAAAAATTATTTTATTTTTTTAAGCCAAATCCTTTGCCTATTTCCTTAGAGAAATTAGCTATTTTGAAATTAGAAATTGATAATGTTGGTATATTTAACAAACGAAATATTAAACAATTAATTGTCGACAAATTAGTTTGTGTTGCTATTGCAAAAACAATGCATGTATTTAATAAATTGTCTTTATCTGATCAGGTAATATTTTTGTTTTGAAAAAATGAATAGTTTTTTATTCAAAATTAATAAGACTTATTTATGAAAATACCTCCCACCCTCCCAATAGAGCTCTATTTTTTAACAATCATCGAAGTTGGGGATATATTTCATGTGGTTTTTTTCGGGAATGTTTCATTTAGTCAGTATCGTTTCTCGTCGAGAAATGGACCGAGAATATCGGTATCGGTTTCGAGAACGAGAATGAAAAAACCGAGACCGATATTGGAAAAAAGCCGAGAATCTCGGTATCGGTCTCGGTATCAGTCTCGTCTTTTCCAACTCTAATACTAATCGCTTAGATTTTTATAATTTCAATTATTTTGTTTTTTACGTTTATTAATCATTTATTATTTGAATAATTCCCAAAATTATTTCCAAATTTAATTTTCCTGAAATTTCCTATAATTTTTTGATAATTTTCAGATTTCTCTACTCCGTCACATTTCATTCCCATTTATCTGTTTTGTTAATAGTTACCTTTCATATGAACTTGGTGTTAATACTTTTATGCGTAAAGATTGTGTTATGCCCGCACTAAGCATAATTGAATGTAAACATTTTAGAAATGATGATTTGTATGTTAATTTCGATAAATTTTTTAAATTTAAATAATATTTAGATTATTTAAATTAACTGATCGTTTATTCACAAAATCTGTTGAGACTGTTAAGGAAGCCGAATTAACCACCGAAGAATTCGCACTTTTAACGGCGATATTCTTCTCACAATCAAGTAAAGATTTGTTGGGGGTTTTATTAAAGGCGCTGTAGATTCATAGAATATAATTTTGGCAACCACTAATTATATTTATCATAAAATTTTGTCAAAAGCCTTTATTTATTTATTGGGCAAATTTAAACTAAAATTTAAAAAAAGGCCAAAATAGAATTTTGGACAAGTGTGTGAAATAGGATGAATAGTAATGTAGAACTTCTTAACAATTAATATAATTCGAAAACAAAACCGAATCCGTGCTCCTTAGTCTCGGGAAGTTCAGGGAAAAATAAGAAAAGGCCTAAAAATCAGGTCCAAAAAGTATGTAATATTCATACTAAATCTAAAGTATTAGAATAAAATCTAAATTTTGTCTCCTTTCTAGCCGCCGATGGATTGTCTTACGAAGGAAAGGAGTTACTTTATAATGAATCTGTTCGTTACACACAAATACTTTTTCGATACATTCAACAACAATTTGGGGAATTTTCTTGTGCTAGCCGTTTAGATGAATGTTTCCGTTTAATTAATTATTTTTTTGAGAAAAGAAGGACTGGACAAATGTTTTTTGGACATATTAAATTTAATTATCCAAATATTTGTAAATATCCAGATTTTATTTCAAATATTTTTGAGAAGAATGATTAAAATAAATTTAAAATAATTTGTTGAATGTTTTCATCAAAAAAAATTTTTTATTAAGTAACCATTAAAAATCAATCCCTTTTGTTGTTGATTTTCAAATTTTGTTGATTCCAAATCCTGTAAAAGGAAGGTGAATGGTATATCAGGGGATTTGGGGTATTAAATTGGATTTTGAGTGATACCGTGTGATTTCAAGAGGTCATAGGTAATAATATAATAGTAAATATATCGGTGATTTGATATCTAGGGATCTGGCGGGATTAAGGATAATTCAAATTCAGGGATGAAAGAGGATATCATGAAACTTGGGGGGGGGGGTATCGGGCATATCAGTAGTTATTATTTTAAAATTTATAAGACATTTAAAAATAAATATTTGCACTTTATATTTAATAGAAAATTCATTTGATTAGTCCACAAGTCATTAAATATTTTGAAATTCTATTTTATTTTTATTTATCCTGTCAATCGGCGGGATAAAAAAAGTTATTTGCACTTTTTGTCAATTGACTCCTTTAATATGATTAGTTTTAAATATTTTGAAATATTTTATTGACTAATAATCTTAAGTGATTAATAAAAAGTGCAAATATTTATTTTTAAATGCCGGCTATATTTCAAAAATAAATGGATAAAGAAATAATTATATCAAGGCAATTTAAAGGAAGAAAAGTTTGATGTCTATATAACTTTTATTTTTATTATTAATATCCATTTATTTTCAATTAAGAGATTGTCTTAAAAATTATATCCAAATGAAATCCTCGAAGATCTTGTAACTTTTATCTCAATAATTAGTATTTTGTTTTCATTTACATAAGAACATTGTCTAAGTATATACACTATATTTTTAATATTAAAATTTAGATGATGAAATTTATTATTGTTTCACACTTATATTTATTTTCCCTATTGAATATTAAATGTGAAGGAAAAAAAGTTAGTGTTCTAGTAAAAATCAAAGATGATTGGGAAGAAAAAAGAGAATTTATTTATTTAAAGAACGTCGAACTAAAAGAGCGTTTTGTATTGAAAAAAATAATAAAGAATAATAATAAATATAATATTAGCTATAATTATAATGTTGATGGATTTTTACATCGTATAAACCGTGAAGAAAATATTTTTAATGTTGAACTAGATGATAGATCAGAATTTACCGTAGAATTAAACAGGAGAGTTTTGATTGATATTGCAAATAATAAAATTATACAAAATATTTTGGTTGGTTTTAGAAAACAGGTATTTCAATGTTGAATTTTGAAAAATAAAGTCCAAAAATGGTAAAGTAATATGCATATCAACTAAAATCATATTAATTTGTTCTTAAATTTAAGGTGCTCCTTAATAATAATTTTATTGCTATGAATAATAATTATTATGAAACTTCTATATTAGATGAGAGCTTAGAAAAAACAAAAATAAATAAAAAAGAATTATTAAAAGAAAACATAGAATCCTATAAAAACAAGCTTTTATCAAGTTATTGGACGGAAACTAATTTAATTGGATATAAAAATGAATTGTTAGAAAAACAAAAAGTTGAATATCCGAAGGAATTAAAAAAGGGAATTATTTACAGTGGCAATAAAATAAGTAAATAATTTATCTGTCTTCATTTATTTATTAATATCAAATCTTTATCTTTAAAGGCGAAATTATTGAAGAAAATAAACGAATTTGCTTCAATTGTACATATAAACACGATAAATATTGGCATAATTTCCTAAAAGAATATTATTTGTGTAACGCTTGTAACTTATATAAAGTTAAATATGGAAAGCTTAGACCAAAGAAATTGTGGTTTAAAACTGAAAAGGTTGCTTATTCGTTTTTGGGGCGGTAATAAAAATTTGAATTTTAAAACTATTTAAATAATGTTTACCAATTTCTGAGTAAGAGACTAAAATGATAATATGAATTTCTCCAATAAAATCTTCATGCAATAGAATTTTTCTATGTTCTAATCTGTTTAAAATTGTTGTAAAAAATTTAATATAAACCCCAAGCATTCTTTATTTACCCGCCTTCTAAAGGGTGTTTCTTTTATTATATTAGAGATGTTACGGCATTTTTTTAATTATTTTAGCGAATTACGCTAGATCGAAATTGTTTTATTTGCCGAGGTACAAAAACATCAACTTGGTACCGTCATTCAGAACCGGAGCATTATATATGTAATGCCTGTTACAAAAAACAACAAAGAATAAAGAAGAAAATAAATTAGAACTCAAAATTAAAATTGAATGACCCTACACATTTTAGTTCTGCGAATTAAATTATCTAAAATTATCGTATAATATGCATATCATTTATATACTATTTCCATTTATTTTGATAATTTCAATAAATTTTATATGAAAAATCTTGGCATATTTCAATTTTCTTCTATTTTCGCTTTTAGTTGTAATTATTTAACATTTCTCTTATAAACTTTTTTTTAAATTTTGTATAATGAATGTTGCATATTTAAATGCAGAGTTTTGGATACTAAGAGCTATTTTGTATTCCCTTAAATTATATTCTACAACCCTTTATTGAATAACCTTTTTTCGGAATAAGAGTAGCTTGGTTAGGAACACCGTAATATTTTTATCAGTGTTTCACCGTAACCGGATTCAATTTGAGGGCCGGATGCCGGAACCTGAACCGATTTGGGGGTGCGCACCAACATACATTTTTAAATATTTTTTAAAATAACTTTAATAAATTTAAATTTAAAATAAAATCAATTAAATGTTTATTTGCCCTTTGTCACATCTCTAATTTTTTAATAAGGCAACTATATAGTCTGTCAATAAATGCCCTTTTTTGGATACACACTACGAGAGAAATGAATTGACAAAAGCATATTTTGACATTTTGCCAATATCATAAATTGCCGCTGAGTTTTGTTGAAGTTTCCTGTTGTTCTTCAAAAAATTAAATTGAAACATAGTACTACATATAACTGATTTATTAGAATTTAGTAAACTTAACACAGATATAGATGAGAAAGAAGAAATCAATACGTTTGCATTAAAAGGAGAGAGAATTAAAACAATATTAATCACAAAGAACATAGAATATTTAATAAATCAAGAAACTATTCGGGGTCGTACGTTACTGGACCCAGGCGCCACTTGCACATTAATTAGCGAAAATTTTGCCAAAAAATTAAGACTTTTAACCTCCGATCCCAAACATAAAACTGAAATCGAAATCGATGGATATGGGGGTCGTAAATCCAGATTTACCTATACACGTGTTAAATTTGAAATGAAATTAAAGGATGGATCAAATTTAATGATAGAAGGATTTACTACACCCAACCTAGACCAAATGAAAATTTATTGTCCTTCTAGTCCAAGAGATTTTTGGTTATATGAACAAAATGAAATAAATGTAAAGAAATGTACCCCATACGTATTATTAGGATTAGCCGATGTTTTAAATATTCTTGATAGTGTGGAAAAATTAAAAGAGCAACGCTTCCTACTTCGCACTAAAGTTGGACCAATCGTTTGTGGAAAAGCTAGAATAAAACAAATGGAGGAAGAGAATGAGAATAAAAATGAAAATCAATATGTAATGGTAGTAGAAAATAAAATTATTGAAAAAATTGAAGAAAAGGACTTTTGGAATCTAGAAACTATAGGCATTAGGGAACCGGGTTTAGAATTCACAGATGATGATAATGCTTGGAAACAATTCAATCAAACAATTAACCAATTACCCGATGGGAGATACGAAGTCGGTTGGCCATGGAGATTAGATTCTAAAAAAGCATTACAAACGAATTTTGGAATTACAATAGGTCGACTTAAAGCCCTTTGGAAAAAATATTCAAAAAATCCAGAAGTCCTAGAATCTATAGATAAAATAATAAAGGAACATTTAGAATTAAATATGATTGAAATCGCACCTAGAAATACACAAGAAATAATTCACTATCTCCCACATCAACCGGTATTTAAAAGTTCATCATCTTTCACTAAACTAAGAGTTGTATTCGATGCAGGCTCGGGAAAAACACCATTAAATAATGAATTACTTAGAGGAGCTATCCTACTCCCACAATTGCCCGGCATACTTATCAGAACCCTTATGTTTAATAATCTGTTGATCGCTGATATTGCTAAAGCTTTTTTACAGATCCAATTGAGACCGGAAGACAGGGATGTTACTAGATTCCTCTGGGTAAAAGATATAAAACACCAACCGGATCACACAAATTTAATTAGCTACAGATTTACTCGCGTATTATTCGGAATCATTTCTAGTCCATTTCTCCTCATCGCTACAATATTACATCATTTCGAGAAAATAAAAAGTCCTTTGTGTGAGGAAATTAAAACAAATTTGTATATGGACAATATAATTCTTGGGGCTGAAAATACTAACGAGATAAAAGAAAAGTATAAAGAATTAATTCAGATTTTTAATAAAGCAAAAATGAGAGTTAGAGAATTTTGTTGTAATTCAGTCGAAGGAAATAATATGTTTGAGGAAAATGACAAACACCCTAGTATAGAATCCAAATCCCTTAAATTCCTTGGAATAAATTGGGACCTAGAAAAAGATGAATATTCACAAAAACTCCCAAATCAGACTTACAAAACAATGACTAAAAAACAATTACTTTCACTTATACATTCTATATTCGACCCGTTGGGATTAATTGGACCCGTATTATTGCCAGCAAAACTTGTATATCAAAAAGTTTGTGGTAGAAATATAAATTGGAATGAAGAGTTAAATGAAGACGAATTAATCGAAATAAATAACATAGTAAATGATTGGAATGAGCAAGAATTTAGTAGACCCAGAAAAATAATACATGGTTGTAGAGAAAAAGAAAATTTACAAATGCATTGTTTTGTTGACGCCTCGATGAAAGCGTACGCCGCGAATATTTATATCCGAAATGAATGTATACACAAAACAGACGTCAATTTAATTTTTGCTAAGAATAGAATAGTCCCCAAAGGAAAAGAAAATACATTAACTATCCCTAGGTTAGAATTATTGGCGATTTTAATTGGAAATAGAGCAACTTCGTTTGTGAGTAGAGAATTAAAAAGGCCTATACAAAAATGTGTTCTTTGGAGCGATTCGATAATTGCAACGTCGTGGATAAAGAACACAAAACATAAAGAAACATTCATTAATAATAGAGTAATAGAGATAAGGAAAAATAAAGAAATAGAATATAGACACGTAACATCAACAGATAACCCTGCCGACATAGGAAGTATAGGCTTAAATGGACCTGAACTCAATTCTAGTCAATTGTGGTGGAAAGGTCCTAGTTGGTTAAGAGAGAGAGAAAATAATTGGCCTAATAAATTGATATTTTCCATTGAAGAGGAAAAACCAAACCCTGTTCTTTGTTATGTAATTCAACTAAGCGAAAATAAAAGGGAACTTATACCAAAAACCGAAAATTATAGCTCTTGGTGGAAATTAATATATACAACTATGTTCATATTAAGAAATTTAAATATTTGTATCTGGTCTAAATTTAATAAAATAGAGAAACCATGGCTCGCCAAAATTAAAACAAAAGGGATTTTTAACGCAAAAGATATAAGACTTGCAAACTTGTTAGTGATTAAACAGGCACAGCTCAAAGAAAGTTTATCAAAGGAACAAAAAGAAAGCCTAAACTTATTCGAAGACGAAAACAATATTTTAAGGTGCAAAACTAGATTACAGAATCTTCCCAATAGTTATGAATTTTCAAACCCTATATATTTACCAAGAGACGATCCAATTACAAAACTTATCATACTACATACACACAAATCAAATCAACATTCCGGCCTTCAGGCGACGTTAACTCAGCTTAAATTAAAATATTTTATAATAAGAGCACGAAATTTAGTCAAAAGAACGTTAAAGGAATGTTTAGAGCACTGTCAAAAACTGAAGCCATATCAACTCACAAAAATGCCACCATTACCAGAAAGTCGTATAACAATTTCACGAGTCTTTCAAAACACTGGTTTAGATTTTATGGGACCGTTATTAGTTAAAAATTTAAATGAGGAAAGAAGTAAAATATGGATATTACTATTTACTTGCCTTACAACACGCACTATTCATCTCGAAATCGTAAACAGTATTGACACCCATTCTTTTCTAAACGCCTTCAGAAAATTTGTGGCAAGAAGAACTAGGCCAAATTATATTCTCTCAGATAACGGTTCGAGTTTTAGGTTGGCAGAAAAAACATTAAAGAGACTCAAACCCGAACACATAATTGATGAAGGTATCCAAAAATACTTCGCGGAAGAGAATATTAATTGGCAATTCATAACGCCACTAGCCCCTTGGCAAGGAGGAGTTTATGAAAGAATCAATGGAATGATAAAATCAAATATTAGAAAATCAATAGGTGGAAGAATAATTAACTATGATGATTTTAATACGCTAATTTGTGAAGTCGAAGCTATAATAAACTGCCGTCCATTAATACAGATTGATGATGAAAAAGACGCCATAATATTAAGACCAATCGACTTTACATATCCATTTGCACAGCAAGGATTTCCTCCTATTTGTGAGGATGACCAGGAATACAAACCCGCTAATATAGATTCAGCGGAAAAAATGTGTGAAATCTGGAAAAGTCACAACATCCGTATAACTAGGTTCTGGCAAAATTGGTCCCAAAATTACCTTACAATGCTAAGGGAAAGAAAAGATGAACATAAAAATCCAAAGTTCTCTTCAAAAGGAAAGCCACAAATTGGAGAAATAGTACAAATATATGATGAGACATTACCAAAAGGATGTTGGAAAATCGGAAAAGTAATTGAAAATAAAAATAATCGATCCATAAAAATTAAAATGGGGAATGGAAAAATCTTGAATAGACCGCCAAATCATCTCTATAGTTTAGAAGTTCCAAGAAGCGGAAAAAATATTTTTAAGGAACAAAACTTCTTCAGTAAAATTATTGATATCAAAAAAGTATATACAAATACTATGCTTCTAATTTTAATGTTTTGCACGATCATACCAGGAGGCTTCTTACAATCCCCAATGTTATGCCCGGAGCAAAACAAAATGTATTGGCGAATAAAAGAAAATCATCGACCTTGTATTAATTTCACAAAGGACCCATTGTTACCAATAACACATAATTTTGACATATACCAACCTAATATAGATTTAGTACAAATACCAGCAGCTCACTGTTCTATGTTGGGTACCAAATATAAATTTAAAACTGATTTAATAAATAATCCCCATCTTATTCTAACAACTTGGAAAGATGAGGTCAGTGTTGAAGAGTGTAATAGAATATGGAAAAAGTCCAGATGTAGACTAGGAGTATTAATAGGATCTGGAAACACAAGCCATACCACTAATGAAGCTAAAATTGAATATTCTTATTGGTCTATCGGCTATAAAGAAACGAGTGAATTAAATTGTTTTCTGAGCAATATAAGCATATATGTAAAACCAGACTCTTCAATAATATTTTCACCTGGAGTAGATATCTCTCATTGTAAATATGAAAATAAGGCATGCTTACTAGAAGATGATTCATTAATTATATGGGAGATTAGTAAAGAAATTAACGAAAAATTGTGTAAATTTTCAAAAATTAGAAAATGGAAAGGAACATGGATGGGTAAAATTTGGTTAGCTGAGAATAAGGAAATAGGTCTCTCATTTGCAAATAACCCTACAAAGATAATTGATTGTCAAAGAGAACTCATATTAAGCGAACAAGGATATGCAGTTCCATCTCCACAATACCAGATATTTAACATGAAAAAGACGAGAAAGAAAAGGGAAAATGAAAAAATACAAACGGGAATAATTATGTCTAACCAATTAGCAGCAGAACTTACAGCTAGTGAAACACTTACCACCGAAAAAATAAGAAAAGTCCTCAATCACATGGCCAATATACTTTGTGCGCGAGATATAAATAATTTTAAAAATGAAATAATTTCGGGAATTGATGCAAATGTATTAGCTAGAATTTTAATGAACACCCCATACATAAAAGGGAAATGGATATCAAAAGAAATACTAGAAACAAAGACATGCCTCCCAATACCAATAGAAAATATAACATACATAAGAAATTCAAAATGCTATAAAGACATCAGTATAAACATTACAATAAAAGATACGCAAATAAAAGCATTTCTTGAACCCACTACATTAATAATAAAGGAAAACTCAACAGAAACACCCTGTTCTGAGACACAAATCACCACAATATTTACTGAAAACAAACTTATAAAAATAAATCAAAAAACAGGAAAAAGTAAAGAAATTCCACAGGAGCACATTCATGATCTAACCTTAAGTAGTCAGCAAGATATAAATAACCCAGTAATAGAAACCCATGCATTCCACAACTTGATCATAAAAAATTACACCGACCCTAGAATAGAGATTCTACAAATGCTCCAAACATATAGTATCGACAGAAAATTTGAGCAAGAAAAGATACAAAAAGCCTTAAATAATAAAGAATACATACACAATTCTGAAGAAACAATAAAAAATCCAATATTAGATTTATTCAATTACATTTGGACAATAAACCTAGAAAAACTCTGGATTAGAACAGTCGCCGCATATATCACATACATATGGCTATTTGACAGCTTGTTGCCATTCGCCCTTAAATATTTGAAAAATACACGGATAGGCAGACTAACCCACACGATACTATCAGCAGCAGGTAGACACACGGAAGACAAAAACAAAGAAGAGATGATGCTTGAAATAGTGAAAAAAATCAAACAAGAGGAATTAGAAGACCAACGGCGAAAAGACGAGGTTACAAGACGCCGCGTCGCCGCGAGTGTCGTATAATATACGAAATTATACGTTTAATATTTAATTTATTAATTATTATATTTTTTATCTGTCATGGACAGAAATTTCCATGCATTTTCTTTCCCATCAACTAACACTTTGACCTCTCAATCCGCCGGAAATAGTTAGAGAAGCATATCTTTCCTTCTCTTTTTCCATACTATTTTTTACATTCCTTCTTTAACTATATCCCGGCGGAGCCCTATATAAACAATAGGCTTATCCCTCCAAATAACATCTAATTGTTCATTTTTCCCGAACGCCAAGCCGTTCTCTAAATCCTTTTAAATAATTTTTTATTATTTCAGATTGTATTTTATTTCTTTAAAATAAATATTTATTATTTATTTTTTGTTCTTTTTGTCTCTAAAAGTAAGCTTTAACTTTTACTTGACAAAGAGTTGCTTTAAATTTTGATTTTGGGCTCATCAGAAAGCCTTGAAATTTGCTACAAGATGGAAATACTCTTATATCTCAGAAAAATTCAATAGAAATTGACAAAAAATAGACAGAAAATCCGACAGAAACCCAAATTTCCTTTTGGGAATCATAAATCGGGTCAGCGCGATCCCTGGAACGTATATTAAATTGAAGCGTGGCTATTATTGGGGACATCATATAGCGAGGCCCTACTGTGTTTTAAAGGTGTTATTTATCAGTAGATACTACAACATATCATTCATTAGATTAAAATATGTTTAAATATTTTATTAAGTTGTATCTGGAGGCTGAAGCTCCTTGAATAGGTATTGCTGTATTTTTGGAAGCCATCAAAGATGGTTGATAATGTTGACTACTAAGCTCCGACTGACAAGGAACAATATCGAACTGTCACCAAAAATTTCGTAATAATTTTTATACCATCGTGTAGAGCATAGTCGAAAACCTATTATAGTGCCCGGCTTTTTTGGCCCTGACCCCCATTTCGGAAAGTTATAGGGCTTCAAAGTTTTCGATTTGGAGCGGTTGAGTCACCCTCACTTTTCTTATTATTTGTCTTCCATAAGAGAAAAATGAGACTCCTCCTCTCTATTTTTCCTTTCCTTTTCTTTTTCAATATTAATTAGAGAAAGAGAAAAAGAAGAGAGGAAAGAAAAGGAAAAGAGGCTTCTCTGCTATCTCCTCTTTCCTTTTTAATTGACATTAGCTGCAAGGCAGAGACGCATCTTTTCCTTTTCTTTTCTCTCCTTCTTTTCTATTTCTTTAACTAATATTGGAAAAGAAAAGGAAAGGAGAAAAGGAGGATGGGAGTCTTATTTTTCTCCTTAACAAAAGAAAAATCTCTCTTCATGAGGGTGACTCAACCGCTCCAAAGGTCGAAAACTTTGAAGCCCTATAACTTTCCGAAATGGGGGTCAGGGCCAAAAAAGCCGGGCACTATAATAGGTTTTCGACTATGCTCTACACGATGGTATAAAAATTATTACGAAATTTTTGGTGACAGTTCGATATTGTTCCTTGTGAGCCTTGAGAATCTTCTCCAAATCTTCTGCCTTCATCTAGAATTTAATGCATTGAATACTGAAGCGAATCGAATTATGGAATAACTAGGCAGAAAACATGTTATTTTACTACAACATATGATTTATTTAATTAAAATATGTTTAAATATTTTTATTAAGTTGTATCTAGAGGATGTCCGAGTGATGATATGTTGTATTTTTGGAAGCCATCAAATATGGTTAATAATTGTAAAAGCCCGATCCAAACACGACTTCTTCCATCAGACTTTTCCCATATGACTTTTTCCATCACACTTTTTCTACTCAATATTTGTTTATTAAATTATCTTTCACTATTACAAATTTCGGTTATAGAAAGTGTATGGAAGAAAGGAAAATGTTTGCTCATTCTGTTATTGGGGATATCTTATAGCAAGGCCCTGTGTTTTAAATGTGTTATTCATGAGTAAACATGTCATTTTAATACAACATATAATTTATTAGATTAAAATTTGTTTAAATATTTTATTGAGCTGGGCATATCTACTTCTTGACATCAGCCCAATCGGTGTATTTTTGGAAGCCATAAGAGATGGTTAATGATTTCATACCTGAATGATTTAGAGAGTTAGGGATCGACTTTCTTAGCAAATCCCTAATCCAGGTATGGCTTTCCGTCTTCAATTTTTAAATGTTAAAATAGTAGGTTGTTCCGTTTACCCAAGTTGTCCTCCTTTTCTTTTTTGGGAAGTTGGATAGTCCAAGTAAAAGTTGGATATATGTCCCTTTTATAAGGCCCATTTTTGATCAATTATGCTCTCCTTTTTGCCACCTTTTTGCTCCTGTTTGAGAACCTATTCAAAGGAATAATGAAAAAACCGGTAAACCGGTAAAAAACTATTTTGTTATAAATTCGTACTTATTTTGACACTTTTTGAAATTTATTCAACCTATTTTAGTCCTTTTTCGTGCCTATTTGTTGTGTGTAGGCGAAAGCCCTTAAGTAGAATAGTATAAAAGCCAGCCATTAATTAATTCCCAGTCTCTTCGCCTTTTCATTCCTCCTACCACAATCTTCATTGTATTTCTACAAGGTGACAAAAAGTTCGGAGTTGAGTATCTATTTACCATAACTTTCTGTTCCATAACTTTCTGTACTCCGAACTTTCTTGTCACCCTGTATAAGAGATAAAGCTTCTGTTCGTTCTCGTCTACGTAAGCGGGGTCATAACACTATTTATGTACCTATTATCAGTTTTTCGAATCTAAAAAAGGCCCCTCTGCGTATTAGTTTAATTGTAGGTTGGCTGTGCTTATTTGCTTAATATATTTTATTTAATTATTTTGAGTTAATTTGCTTGTCTTGCAGCTCATATGTATATACGAGTTAGTATAAAAACCAACATATTTAGTCATTTTTCTTTCTCATTTAATTTCTTCATTCTCCTACAAACTTCCTTATTTTTTATGTGTTTTCCTATCTTTCCATACAAAATTTTTATAATATTTTTAACTATTTGGTTTAATCATAATCTTCACAATTTCAGTGCTTCTTCTCTATTCTATTGCCTAAAAATGTGAACAAACCTGATTTTATTGAATGTCTATCTAATAGATTTACACATGAACATGCTAATAACAATTTATCTTGCTATTCCTGCCAATCACATGATCTAAAAATTAATGAAAAAATATGGAACGCCCCGGAAATAGTAATTATAATAAAATTAGATAGACCTAAGTTAGAATATTAATAAATACAATTTAATTATTCATTTTAGAGCCGAAACTGGGAATATTTTGATATAAAACAATTTATTCATAAAGATTCTTCTTGCCAGATTCAATTTATAATCTATACGCTATTGTGGTATGATTTAAAAAATAATTCTTTTAAATTAAATTTCAATAAATTAATAATTAATAACAGATTCAATTGGTGATCTTAAATGTGGACACTATGTTTGTGCAATAAAGCTATATAAAAGAAATCCCGGTGTTTATAGATGGATAATGTTTGATGATCAGAAAAGAACGGAAATCAATACGAATAGTTTATTATTTTTGAATGGAGTAAGACATAATATAAATAATAATTAAAAAAAATTATTTTAGGGAGAAATATTTACAATGCTTTACTATAAAAGAGAAGAATAAAGTTGATGTAATATTTAATTTTTAAAAAATAAAATAATGAGAGACATTTACTTTCAATAAATTTAATATTGTTTAAAATATATCCATGAATAAAATTTATACAAAAATTATTAGACTAAGGGGAGGATGTGAAACACATTTCATTGTACTTGAGATAAGTGTTTATTCTATAAGTTAAATCATTCTTATGTAAGAAGTAAGAAGTCCTACTATCCGTCTATTTTCATTTTTTCGAGAAACGAAACCTATATATAATACCCGAAGATTTCGGATATCCGGACTTTTTTCGTTTTAACTATACTAAACTGCCAACCATAGTACAAGAATATAACACGTTTATCCGAGTAGCAAATACAATAATGACGAAGGTGGCAATAAGCGGGAATAACTAAGGACAGGCGGCGACGTTCGGCCCAGGTGCCGAATAAGACTGACCTCTAATGACTTCTCTATACGTGACACACAAATATCTAACACTTGTATTATGTATTTGACTGTTTATATAAAAGGCTTAGTGAAATGACAGTCTTTTTTAGTCTTAGTTATCTTGTCCTGTACTAACCTCCATCAACCAGTGTCCTTTTTGCACTTGATAATCCTTGGTGTGGGATCTTGGTCTTAGTTAGAGCTCGGAAATCCAGGACATAACTAAATATAATACCTATTGATAATTTAGTCCACCTTTGTGAACTTACAAAAATATTGAAGAAAATGGATACGGAAAAATAGTTCACTGTCTGTCTATTCAAAACCCCTTATAACTAATAAATATGGATAAATAGATATGTTTCAAATTAAATATACATATATTCTTTGTGCGCAAAAGCCCTTTAGTTGTCCTCTACTCGATTTAGAGGTAGAGGACTGTTTTCACCTCTCTTTGATAATGTAAGGATTATTCACGTACATAGCAGTTCCAATTTCCTACACCTCTGACTATTCTGACCTCCTCCTTAAGTATACTAAACCGCAACCTTAGTACAAGAATATAACACGTTTATTCGAATAGCAAATAAAATAATCTAAGGTTGCAATAAGCGGGAATAACTAAGGACAGACGGCGACGTTCGGCCCAGGTTCCGACTAAGACTGACCTCTAATGAATCCTTTATACTTTGACTGTTTATTATAAAAGACTTACTAAAATGCCAGTCTTTGATAGTGTTAGTTATCCTGCCCTGTACTAACCTCCATCAACTATTGTCCTTTATGTACGATATAATCTCTGGTGTGAATGGGATCATCGTCTTAATTAGAGCTCGGAAACCCAGGACATAGCTATAATATCTATTAATAATATAGTCCACATAGGTGAACTTACAAAAATACTGAAGATACTGAAAATCTGGAAGTCAACACATATTACTATATTCAAAAACCCTTATAACTAATAAGTAT